ACTTTCAAATTATGGTCACCCCATTATGGGAAGTAAGGGAAAAAGGGCTGGGGTCCCTAAGTGATTGCCTTTAGAGAGAGAGAGAGAGATGTTGTGCCTTAGGCCTAGGCCCTACAAGAATGTGAGAGAGATGGGATTGTTGTGCATTTAGTCTAGCTCCCCACAAGATATGAGATAGAGAGAGAGAGTGGCCTGTTGGGTATTAGACCTCTAGCCTCTGCAAGAAGAGAGAGAAAGAGAGAGAGGATTGTGGGGTAGGCTATAAGAGGTGGTAGAGAGAGAGAGAGGAATGTTGGGGCAGGCTCTAAAGGTGAGGTAGAGAGAGAAACAGGATTGTTGAGGGTGGGGTAGTGGTGTCAAGGTGCAAGGGCACAAGTGGGGCACCTTAAGAGAAGTTGCCTACACTTTGTCTCAGATCTCGAGCAAGTGTATGAATGGGAGTGAAATGAGAGGAGAGAGAAAGTGAAATGTTCACGAGGGGGGACAATTTATGCTTAGGTTTTGGATTGGATCCCATAAAAGGAGAGCAGCTCAAAAGCAACAAACCCAACATAAAAAAAAAAAAAGATCGACGGAGGGAGAGGGAGAGGGCAATGAAATGTGGGTTTTGCTCCTTTTCATGAGAGAGGGGGACAGAGAGTGAGAGAATAAACTTTCCACTCAAATAATAAATGTAAGGAAAAAGCAATTGATGTTTGTGTCTTTTGATTAAGATTTTATTTCGATATTCAAGGGGATTAAGGTTGACCGGGAAATACTTACTCGTATAACCTAAAAACAAACCATAGTATTAAAAAATAAAAGAATTATTAGAAATGGATGACCGTTATGAAAGGAGCATCCCTTGTCCATTTCATGATTTATAATAACGTGATATGAAATACACTAATGGGAGTACCCCTTCCCAAAAATAACGGGTTCCTTATTCAATGTCGATCCATTATAATGGTGTCACCGTAACGGATTCAAGTTTGTTAAGATGAAACAAAACGAAAATGTGAAAATGGCCGTTATATAGAAACCAGGAGTCGTTAGAATTCGTTATTTTCTAGAATGACACTAGCGTTATTAGAACCAAACCTAAACTCGTATGGTTTTGGTCATGTTAAAACTGGTTTGACCATCAATCAAACATGTTGGACCCCATTAAAAAAGATAAAGAAAACTAAAAACAATAGATTAAAAACATAAATTTTATTATAAATAAATTAATCTACTTTATTTAACCAGTCAAATTAGTCAAACTCAACTAGTTTGACATGCCAAAACCTGTTATATATATATATTAGTATCAACTGGTTTCATCAAATTTAATAATTGTTTCAGACTAAACCGACCAAAACAATAATCAGACCGACCAAGACAATGGTTAGATCGACCAAACTAGCTTTAATAACTGTTATAGTTTTTTTTAGTCTTCGCTATGTTAATTACATTCCAATTAAGAGTAAAACTTAACATTATCTCGAAAAATGCTTCATTCCCCCCGTGTGTCGAGAGAACTCTCACGTGTGATGTGAGAAATAGTCACGTGTGAGGTGCACGCGAAGTGGCGTGCAAGTCCCTAGGCTAATCATGGGTGGCAGCAAGCATAATAATAATAATAGATAATAACAATGGTAAGGAATATCACTCCAAATATTGGAATCATTTGATGAAACTACCCATACATCTCAAGACACATTTTCATCATTGCCCATGCCCGTGCCTTCACATTGTCACCTTCTAGCTTGTTTACTCAATTCCTATTCAAAACAACAATGATAATAGTGATAAAAATAGATTATAAAGTTTTAAAATAGAATAAATAAATAAACATTCTACTTATTTTTTGGAGAATCGATTCTTCTAAACTTTTGGGGGAAAATAGTGATAATGCAGTAGATGCTAAAACAAGTACATCATTATGAGGTTTCTATAAGGCCTAGGCTTTGTAAAAATGAAATAAAACTTCACCTCAAATTTTTATATGGAAAGTACTTTCAACTACAAAAAGTTTTATGATGGGTCTAAAATCAATTTCCAACGCCGACAACGAAATTCAAAACTAAAAAAATGATACAGATTTTGTAGGTCTATGAACACTTACCTTTAGAGTGAACTGAACAGTCTAGATAATTTCTTATTGGATACACTAATTGTAGAGTTTAAAATCTTTTTTTTTTATCACAACCATAATGTTCAAACCAGAGTTGATAGATTTATATGGTGAAGCTTTACTTTGATAGGGCAGCAACCCTATTGAACCATTTTCCAAACTAAAATTTGTTTAAGAGTGCCTAAAGTGTACCCCCGCAGGAGCACATTGTATACTTAGTGAATCTATGATTGTGGTACACGTAGACCATATATTTTAGTGAATACTACTCAAATATTAAGAAAAGACAAAAAAAGAATTTTGGCCATCGAAAATTTTGACGTTTTATATTCATTTTGGGACTTTTTAAGCATATATAAAGCGGGCACAATTATTTATTTCAAAATAGAGATAAACTGTGTTTATGTTGTTTTTGTTTAGGAAAATTACTTAAATATATATTATATTTTGTGTTATTACAGATGTACTAAATAGTTTTCGATATTACATGTTTATCTGTTTTTTATTTTTTATAACGTAATTTTTTAAAAAAAACGACTTTAACCTCCTTAAAGTTTCGGGAATTTCGCAGTCACATTTTCAGATGTTGGTAATGCAAGCTTTCTAAAAAGTAATATTGTTCAACAACTGAAAATACATTGAATTTAGATGTTGACCATCCGAAAAACCCTTTAATTTGGTTGTTCAACACTCGAAAAAAGATAAAGTCGTCTTTTTAAAAAAATTTATGTTATAAAAGGTAAAAAACGGACAGACATGTAATAACGAAAATTATTTGGTCCATCCTTAATAACATAAAATATAACAAATATATGTGTAATTTTCCGTTCTTTTTTTTTCTTTTTTTTCTTTTTTTTTTTTACAACCGTTAAGGTTAAGGAAGTACATCCTCGAAATTTAAGGTCCTAAATGCACAATGCACCTACAACCTCATGGCATATCTTCACTGCAAGATTTAGGAGTGAAAATATATGTAACTAAAGAGGCGTCTAAATTTCATTCCACTTCCCATATCCTCCACGATCAAGGACAAAAGGCCTCTGTTTTGGGTTGAAATGATTGAATGTTTGAAAGGACTTCAAGAAAAACATGAAAAATCCTTGGCATTTATGAAAAGCTGAGCCAGAACCTAGGGCAAGAAATCATAGTCCACTGGAAAAATAGTCCGTTGAACAGTATTAATATAATCGAATTTTGCAATTTGAAAGTTTTCATAAATTATTAAAATACTATAAAAAGTGTAAAACTCAAGAAGAGGAAGAGACCCCTTCTCCCAATATCAAATTCTCATGAAAAAATAAAAAAGAGAAATGACAAATTTTCTATTTTTTAATTTAAAATGATACCATTGTTTCTTTAAATGAGATTTTCTCATTTATGAACTTTGGAATAGTACAAAAGTGAACGGGGAAGAAAAGAAAAAGATGGACAAAATTTGAACCTCCCCACTATTCCAAATATAAAACAATAAAATTATAATATTAATTATTTCATATAAACTATTAGACAAGTAGACAAGAAAGAAACAATGCCCTTTTATGGGGTTACCCCCCACCAAAAGCCACTATCACAATAACAATAGATTAAAATAAAAAATAATGAAAGGAAGTAGTTCATTCAAAAGCAACAATGTCTATTGAGAGAACAGCAAGAAAATGGAATCAATTAAAAAACTAAAACAGAAAAGGAATTTTTTATTATCAAAATACACTTAAATTACGTGATATAGTTTTATGACTCCTAGGATTCATATGTAGATATGTGGCCCTTCTTACTAATCTATTTTTAGTATGGATTTAGTAATTATATATATATATATATATATATATATATAAAAGATGGAGACTAATAATATGTAAAAACAAAAAAATTTCAAAAATTAAAATGATAATTTTTTAAGAAAATTTTTAGATCTATTTTTAGTTTTTTTTTTAGGAGCAAATGTTATGCATCCCATGCATGTAACACTTTTTCTAAATTATAACCTTTTTGACGCTTTACCTATTCATTGTGTGTGGTTTCTATGACTGACGCTCTAAACAATCAAAGCAAGACACACTTTTGAGGCCCTAAACAATCAAAGTAAGACACACTTTCAAATAATACCAAAATATAATGTTTTAGTATCAGAAATCTTTATGATGGTCTGAAAATTTATGTTCGTACTTGATTATAAAATTTAAAAGATTAAAAAGTAGTATAAATCGAACAGATTTATAAACACTTGAAAATTAATGGTCTAGATAATATATTATATGATGCATTTATTTCAAGACTTGAAGTCTAATTTTTTTCATTTTCATACATCTTTAGGTCGAGATGATCGAATTGAAGGTGAAACAACTCCTTGTAGTGAATTTTTGAGGCGCGACTTAATTTATTTGATTGTTTAGAGCCTCGTCCTTTTATAAGATGTGCTTCATTAAAATACCCTAAAAATTTTAAGCATTGGAACTCAAATAAAATGGTAAATAGTTTATTTTGATAAAATTCTAAAAAAAAAAAATTAAGTTCGTATTTTTAAATAACAACAATAAAAAATAGAAAATTTTATTTAGTAATTATTTGCGTAGAGGAAATAAGGGAAAAGGGGAAGTGCGCGTGGGTTAATGTCCTCTTCATGAGGATCTCACCTCCCCCTCTATAATCATCGACCCACTCATTACTTTTGGCTACAATCATATCACTCCTTGGTTGCCTCGCACGCATGCTCTCTCTCTCACTCCTATAAAACCCCCCCACCCCTCTCTCTCTTCCCCACTCTCACGTGCCACTCTTCTCTTATATGCTCTTCTTCCCCTCTCTCTCTCTCTCTCTCTACCACTTCAATTGCCAGGTCTCAACATCCCCCCTCTTAATCCTCTCTCTCCTCCTCATAACTCTCTCTCTCTCTCTACAAACTATCATCTCTCTCTTCCCCCAACAATTCTCTCTCTACACAAAATCCATTATCGCTCGTCTCCTCTCTATCTCTTACTTCTCTACTTCCTTCTGCCTCCCTACCTCACACATCTCTCTCTTGATCGATGGCGGTGTCCGGTTTCGAAGGCTTCGAGAAGAGATTGGAGCTCCGGTTCACCGGGGCTGATCCGAACGGCCCTGGCCTCAGACGGCTCGGCCAATTCGAAATCAACCGCATACTCGAAGCGGCCCAATGCACCATCGTATCGGGACTCGGCAACCGATTCTTCGACTCATACGTGCTGTCCGAGTCGAGCCTCTTTATCTACCCGTCTAAGATCATAATCAAGACCTGCGGGACTACCCACCTCCTACAGTCTCTCTCTCTCTTCCTCCACCATGCCAAAAAACTAGGGCACTACATCTCTTCTTGCACCTACACCAGGGGCAACTTCATTTTCCCGGAGTCCCAACCCTTTCCTCACACCAACTTCAAAGAAGAGGTCTCTTTCCTAGAGAACGACCTTCCCCCGAGACTCAGCGAGAGAAAATCCAGTGTTTTGAGGTCCAAGACCTCACATTCATGGCATGTCTACACCTCTAGGGACCCCAACATGCTAGAGACAGGTGCCCAAAATGAGGTGTACACTATGGAAGTGTGCATGACCGACCTCGACCGGAGCTCCGCTCGTCGGTTTTTCCGACACGAAAATTATCTATCGGGTGATGAAGCGGGGAGGGAGATGACTGAGAGGTCGGGAATTGGGTCCATAAGGGCGAATTCAGTAATTTGCGACTTCGCGTTCGACCCGTGCGGTTACTCGATGAACGGATTGTTGGGGTCCTCTTACTCGACGATTCATGTTACGCCGGAAAATGGATACAGCTACGCGAGTTTCGAGTGCGTGGGCCTGGGCCTGGGCCAGGGCCAGGAGATGGAGGAAGTGGCTGCGGTTCTGGCAAGAGTAGCCAGGGTTTTTGGGCCCGGGACCCTGTCAGTGGCATTACGGGCCCCACAAGGGGCGGAGTGGTCAATTGGGGAGGCGGCGACAGTTCTTGAGCCAATGGGGATGGCGCTTCGTGGGGCCCGTGCAGTCGATGTGCCCGGTGGGGGTAATGTCGTTTTTCAGGCTTTCGAGCGGCGGAGAGAGTTGTAAGCATGGAATATGGAGTTGCGACTGTCTTTTCCCGGCCATGGCTACAGAGAGTGAGAGAGAGCTTGTTCCACAGGAGGACAGTTGAGTTGAGGGTGTTGATACTTCATACTTGGGACCATATTATGTTGCATTTCTAACATGAATTGACCTTAACACTAATCACAAGAAGATGAGAGAGAAAGAGGAGAGAGAGAAAGAGGAGGGATAAGGGCTCCTATAGTGGGATCATCACATTCATAATGCCTCACCATTTTGATGTATCACGCCTGAATCGAAATTTAGGGTTAGTGGGGAGCATTTGTGTTGTGCCCCTCTATCTTTGTCCACAAAAGAATGTGTCCACTTTTATTCCATTGCATATTTTTCACTTCTTGGGCTTATTGCTTCTTTGTAAATTGGACATCTATTTTACTAGTGTGCCTCATAGACAAATGCTTTTTGTGCTCCTATTATTGGGATTAACCGGAAATGGACGGTTAAGATTCATTGAAGCAGGATGTGATAGGGTTTTCCCATATTGGTAAGTTTTTTGATAAATGGGTTTTTTTATTCCAATGACTTAAAATTATTCATTTTAAAAATTGTGAGTCATCGCCGAGTCATTTAAGTCGGTCTGCAAGTCATCCAGTCCCAGTTTTTAGCTTCTTTTCTTGTTCAACATGGTCAAAGTTTTTAGCTTCTCTTCTTGTTTAACATGGTCAAACCTGAATACCTCGAGTTTTATAGAACTTGATTATGACACATGGCTATTAGAGCTTGGTTTTTGTGATTATCTTTGAGAAAAAATAGACTTTGAAGTACAAGATGTTCACGATTAATTTTAATCATTAGATATCAAATTGGGTGGTTGTAACAATTGCACTAGCCAAGCTCAAAGTTCAAAAAAAAAAAATCGAACTTTGTGACACACCTAAGCTATCCGATTGTACATTAGATGGTTATAAGCTATCCGATTTCACATTAAATAGTTATAAGTAAATGTGACCTTCTTATTCCAATGCTAAATACTTTCATAATATACAACCCTTTTATTCAATGGACATGTTTGCCCTTTTCTTCAATGGACATGTTTGGGAAAATTGTCTAGGGAACTAAAATGATGAGCAAGTCTAGCATTATGATAAGCAAAAGAAAATATAGAGTGATGATCCCATAAGGCCTTCCTCCACTTATGTGTGTAGGACTTCAGAGGATCACCATTAAGGTAGGCACATATCTCGTAAAAAGGTATCATATGGGTGTGGGATTGGACTTTTCTATAGATCTATGTTAAATTTAATGATGATCATTTAGAGTTCTATACACATGGGTCGGGGGAGGGTCGGGTGAGGGACGGTCCAATAGGATCATTTCTCTAAAAAATAAAGAAAAAGTTTACATAAGGTTGCAACTTTAAAATGTAGAATTAAATGTGCACCTCAAAAATCAATCATGAGAGGTTGTTTGGATGTTGGAAAACACTCTAATTGATCATCTCGACATTGAGATGTATGAATATGAAAAGAAAAAAAGATTTTGAGTCCGCAAATAGTGTATCTTGTAATACATTATCTGAACCTCCTATTTTTAAGATTTTCATGTGTTTATAGATCTACTTGAGTTGAACTATTTTTAGAGTTTAAAATTTTATAATTAGAGATAAAAATAGATTCTCAATCCATCCTAAGAATTCTTTATATCAATATTATATTTATAATAAAATTTAGAAGTGTACTTTAATTGGATTGTTTAAGGTTGCAACCTTATGAAAACCATATCCAAAAAATAATACTATGAAGACAAATAAATAATGGGAAATTTATCAAATACCATAATAGACATTACACGAATTTGCAACTATTTTAACTTATGATCACATGGTCTCTTTGTTGACAATTCCTTAAATTAAAAGGTATGGTTAGAATGTTAAATAATTCGTGGCTATTTGGATAAAATTCCCATACTATGAGTAATAAATTTTAGTTAATTTCAAACTAAATTAGATAAATAATTCAATGGATTTAGTGGAACAATACAATGACTATGCATGTAATGCATTTTTCGAAAATGGGATTAGATGTTCTTTTTATTAGGTAGGCATGAGATTATGATTTAGATATGAAACTAGAAATAAAATACCAATTTAAATAAATAAATGAAAATGGAAATGGATTATTTGGCAATTTTGTTTTGTCACGCATGTATTATCTTGGTCACTTAATAATTAATTAGTTAGTGATTGTAAATGTGAACGTCAAGAAGAAATGAGAAGTCCAGGCATGAAAACGATATTCGACAAAGAAAGCAATAAAGATGATGATATTCTTCAACAAAGTGGATTTAAAAAAGTGATGGTTGATGGCACGCGCGAAGGTAGAGAGAGACAGTCCAAAGTAGGGGGTGGCAATGGACCCGGATTCGACTTGGGTCCAAGAATTGGATCCCGGTGCGTCAGGTATGGATCTAAAGATTGGACCCAAACACTAATCGGATCTGGGTCCAAATATTGGACCCGAATACTAATCCAGTCTAGGTCCACGTGGATCCAACTCGAATAGTATTATTATATAAATAATATCTAATATATAATTTTTAATAATATTTAAATAAATCTAAGTATATATTTTTAGTTATAATATTTAAATAATACATGTATATATTTAACATAACATATAATTATATTTGAATATATTTTTTATTTTTGGATCGGGTCCAGGTCTAGGTCCCTTCTTTTCGGGTATGGGTACGAATCTGGGTCTGGGTCCAAGTCCGACCTGACCCGTTGCCATCCCTAATCCATGTGAAAGAGAGAGAGCATCCTATTGGTTGACGAGCATTCTTACCGTGGTTGACTATCCATTGCGGTGGACATAAACTCTCATAGGTATGGGATCAAAATAAGGGAGGGAGGCACGAGAAGAAATCGTTTTTTTATCAGTGTAAATGCCCCTTCAATAAAATTCAACAAGTACACTTTCCGGATACAGCCAGATCAAAATGCAATTTTTGAGTCATTGAGTTGCACAAAAAAAGACCTTACAAAACCACAGTCTAAAAAATTGGTATCTTTCAGTCGACAATCAATATAATATTATAAATACCGATTGAAAATATATTTTTCTCTCACTACAAAATCTATCATCCAATTGATATATTGCAATTGACCATAGTTCGAAAACAACCTTCTCACCCAATATAAATTATATTCCAATCAATAGGTACAAACTTCAATTGGGTATAGTACAAGAATATCTCTCCCTGCAGGAATTGTCTTCCAATGGATAGAATAAACTTCGGTTTGATATAATATACATGCATAAAAAAAATTAAGTATAAATTACATTACTAACACCCTCATCGCCAAATTCTGTCAAAACCTCATCTAAACGTCGTCTTCATATATGACAACACTCTTAGTTCCCGTTAAATTCATGTAGGAGATGTTGATGATAACAAAAACACTCCTAGTCCAAATCAAATTGCGATCTTAGTCCAAATCAAATTGCGATAAGAATTAGATAGGGTGTCAGGGGTTGATGATAATAAAAACACTCATAATCCCATTTAAATTGTGGTAGAAATTAGATCATGTTACAGATGTCATAGAGTGACATAAATGATAATCCAAAAAAAATCATGCTTTCTATACTTACGAAAAGAGAGAGAATGTACTTTTAAAACTCGAAAGAGAGAACGAGAGCTTTCGTTGAAATGCGAGAGTGAGCTCCCGTACCCTGTAACTCTCCTGTTTTTACTAACCTTGTTTTTCTCAAGCTCATCTCATAACTTATCGAAAATTACTACTTAAACATTAGAAAATCTTTATATAGATCATCTCGCCTTGAATATTGTGGTTGTGAAAAAACATTAGAACTTCAAGCTCAAAAAATAGTGTATACTATCCATTTCGCCTTAATCAAGTGTTCGCAGAACCTCAAGATTGTCTCATTTTTTAAGTTTCAAACAACAAAATTTTGTTGTTGGTGTTGGAAATTGATTTTAGAGCGATCATATATGTTTTTTTTTTTGTAGAAAGTGCTTTCCAAACGAGAGGATTTGATATGAGGCTTTATTTCCTTTTCATAAAACCTGGGCCTTATAAAAAACTTTATCAATTTTAAAGTAATATTTTATACCGTAAGCTTTTACCTGTAAATGGTAGTTGATAAAAGATGGAGAAAATTACAAAAACCCCTAAAAAGGAGGCTTTCTAAATAACCCACTCTCAACCAAGTTTGTTTTTTTAAGCAACTTTTATCCCAAATTAAAAAATTGTGGCAAATACCCCCGCAAGTTAAAAAAATTCATTTTTATTTAACAAAAATGGCCATTGTACCGTACCGCTCCCAGTTCGCATGCCCAAAGTGTCAGACTGTTTGCATTCCGGAAGTCACCGGACCGCATGCCCAAAGTGCCAGACCCCTCTATTTTTTGTCGGACCGCATATTCTCCAAAAACAAAGTACTAGACTGCCCCTATTTTGTACTTGACCGCACGCTTTCTTAAGGGTATTTTGGTCTTCAATTTATCTTTCATTTTTTTTAATACCTGGAGGCCATTTGATAGAAAAGTTAGACTTAAAGTAAAATTTGCTAAAAAACACTCCGTTGGGGGAAAGATATCTAAAAAGTATTATTTTGAGAGTATTTGTAATTTTCTCTAAAACACAACTTTAAAAGAGCGCCGCTTCCAAAAATACGTGGCATCAAACTTTTGGAAAGGAAGAAAGAGAAGGGAGCAATGATTTCATGGAACCGTTTCATAGTAATATGACGTAACAATCTTAAAAACTTATTTTATAGCCATTTGTTTAATCCAAATTTTGAAATATAAACTCTTTTTATTTTAATTAACGATCAAAAAAAAAAAAAATTGAAAACACAATCTAAAAAGTATTTTTTTAGCCCAATTAACATAGGCCGTTCATTTTGGTTAGATGCTAAGATCTAAGTCTTAGAAGGATTTTTCTCATTGTCAATTTTTTTGGATGGCTTTATTATCGTTAGACGAATGATGTTAAAAAATGAAAAAATGATTTTGAGTTTGTGAAGGCTAAGATCTTGAAATTCATAAAATAAACAGTCTAGATTTGTTTATGGAGGGGACTAATTTTGGCCATATCTAGGGTTCAAATTGAACTTTTTTTTTTTAATAATTGATTATTAAGATGAAAAGAGTGTGTGTAAAATTTGAGATCATACAAATACCACAAACATGAATTCCTAGGAGTGTCGTTCCATTATAATATATACCACCTTTGGATCTCGAGAGAAGGAGAGTTATAAAAAGGATGGAAATGGTGTCCTCACGGACCACAAATGACTGAATGGTCGGGCATAACAAAACTCCAATAAGATGTTGGTTTGAAACCCTACGCATTAAAAAAAAAAGTTTACATATCCAAACCCCATTTGCGAGAGAGGGACTCCAAACCCCATCTGAGAGAGAGAGCATGCAAACCCCACTTTAAAACTTCGCCATCAGTTTCCAATTTACCAGCACATGACCTGCA